GCCTGATGCAGATTTTGGTGCAACGTGCATTCTGTAGTTTTTGTCGACAGGGTTGGCGGGGGGGGCTCGGCATGGCGCTGGGTTTGTCGCCAGTCGGGTCGGGGACGGGGGGGGGTTATGAATTAAGGAGCAGTGATGAAGCTACCCTCTCCCCGAAGGACGTCTCGCGCACCCCCACCCGCCCTCCCACCACAGAAGTAGCACCCGCGTCGCAGCATGGGCAGGGGCCGCCAGTCAGACGCCAGCCAGAGGCGCGGCGCCCGCGAAGTGTGCCGCGAGTGCCAGGGTGCCCCGCATCATCCCGTCAAGTGACCCTGCAGGTCAGAGCCCCGAATCATCAGAGGCAACTCGGGTCAGGGATAACTCGGGTTCGTTTTTCGGGAATCCAAACCCGAGTTACCCCGGACCCGAGTTACCCCGGATAACTCGGGCGTCCAGAGCCCCGAATCATCAGGGGCAACTCGGGTCAGGGATAACTCGGGTTCCCTTTTCGGGAATCCAAACCCGAGTTACCCCGGACCCGAGTTACCCCGGATAACTCGGGCGTCCAGAGCCCCGAATCATCAGGGGCAACTCGGGTCAGGGATAACTCGGGTTCCTTTTTCGGGAATCCAAACCCGAGTTACCCCGGACCCGAGTTACCCCGGATAACTCGGGCGCCCAAGATCGCGGGGCGCCCGCGCATGATACAGAGTCTGCAGCGAACTTTATTCAAGTCGGGCACCTCTTCAGGAGGAATAGCCCAGAGTAGTCGAACAAATAGTCGAGGACGGTCTTGCGATTTTTTCTTGGCCATGTCTGAGTATCTGCTGGGTATGTTTAATGTGTCTTCGAAAACCCGCCTGTGGGAGGACATGCCCGACCCAACACTGTATTGCGTATGGCTGTTTTTTCGGCAGGGTAGAGGGCATGCGCGCAGCAGACCAGATGCTGGCCCCATCCCCCCCTCGCCCCTGCCAAAACATGTGCAAAGTTTGTGATGTTCCAACGTACCTTAGCCTTGACCACCAGGAAGAATTTCGAGCGCCCCCCAAAGCTCGAGGGCTTTCACGTGTCGGGCCCTGGGGGACATTCTTTCGACACTCGTTCGACACTTTTCCTGGCGCTCCTTAAGTACGATCCTCAAGTACGATGGGAACAACATAATGCATGCACGGTCATCTATTAAGTCTGATCCTTGAGTCTGGCCATTTAGTTCTGGGATGTGGTCCTTAAGTACGATGGGAACAACATAGTGCAGAGTGATCGCGGGGGGGGCCCGAGCGTGCTCCAGGTGCTGCCTGCAAAGTTTATCACTAAGTCAAAACAGATGCCCAATCCCAAAAACGCGAGGGCCAAGACAAAATGCAGGCTCCTCGAGACTTCGGGGAGGGAGATTTTGGGGTATGGTTTTACCAGGGCGACGACGACGAACGCAAAACATACCCCGAAGTCTTTGGCCGATCTTCGAATCCTCGGTGAATCCGCGATTTTGGGATTGGGGATGTGTTTTTTCGTGGTCAGTCTAGGGGAGGGCAAAGGCCACCCCGAGACCCCGAGACCTGGCGCTCACCAGGCGGCCCGGGGCGTTTTTGGCCCTGCCCTGCGCGATCTCCCTTCCCCTGGGTGCGTTGCCTACACGGCTTCGCTCGTCGGGGCGCCTATCGTTACCAGCCTGGAACATATCCCTATCCCTATGCTGGGCACCTCCTCATCACGATGCCAATCTCAGGGATTCCCTTATTTTTTTGAGGGCGAATCCCTAAGATTGTCATCGCCTTTTGGCGTGCCAATCTTAGGGATAGGGATACGTTCGAGGCTGGTAATATCATAGGGGAACAAAAAGTGGCATAAACATAACAACTCGGAGGACCGCGCGCCGATCCGAGAAATCCGCGCGGACCTCCGAGTTTTTATGTTCATACCACTTTCTGTGCCCCTGTATTATGGGGTGGGTCGTCCGCCCTCTTGTAAAAGTGCATGTTGCTTCTTGTCCTCTGGCAAGGCTGGTGGGGGACTGTTGTCGTGGTTCTGGGTTCGCCACCGGTCAGGCGGGCGTGGGGGCGGGTACCCACACAGTCAGCCCGCACAGGAAGGATGGGCAGCCTTCCCGAGGGTACCCTTTTGCATCCTGGCCCCCTCGGTGCAGCCCTGACCACTTTCGTTGGCCGCGCCCCGCTCGAAAAGCTCCGAAAAGGGCGTCCAAGGCCCCTGCATCCGTATCGCGCACCCTTCTGGTACGGGCTGGCTGTAAGGAACAGAGATCAAGTTACCCACAAGCCGCAAGCCGTCTCGCTCACTCCCACCTGCCATCCCAACGCACAAGCAGCTCCTGAGTCTCAGCATAGACAGGGGCCGCTATCAACAAACATCGGACGCCAATGCAGACGCCAGCCAGGTGCGCGACGCCCGCGACGTTCTCCGCGCGTGCCATGGTACTCCCAGCACGCCTATCAAATGACTGCCAGTGCAAAGTGAACGTGGGGCACCCGCGCATGGTCCACGATTTTGCCGTAACGTGCGCGTTGCGTTGATTTTGACAAGGGTGGTGGGACTGCGCACGCTGAGTGATACGAAACCCCCCTTTCGTTTTCTGTCAACGGCGAAAGATGTAAAGAGGTCGCGAGGCGCCCGAACGTGATCGAAGTCTTTTCGCAGAGTGCATGTTGAGTTGTCACTTGACAGGAAGAGGGGGGGAGGCACCGGCCCCGCTTCAGGGCGGTAGAGTGGGGGAGGGAGTGTACATCAGCAAAGGGTAGCGATCAATTCGAAGGAATGGTGATCAACCTCGGTAAGCCCAGGAAGCATTTAAGAACCCCCCCCCCTCCGGCAAATCGATAACCCTTCCGCACCATCATCCATATCCGCATCATCATCATCATCATCATCATCATCATCATCATCATCATCATCATCATCAACATCATCATCATCATCATCATCATCATCGTGTCCGGTTGCTACAGCTATCGTTCGATTATTTCGGCCCTTCGGAATATCGAATAAAAAATGCGGTGCTACGATATCGCCGGGGGGGTTCTTAAATGCTTCCTGGGGTAAGCCTCTCATGCCCACAGGGCAGGGAGTCCTGTCGGAAGCGTCAGCGATTGCGGTGGGCGAAGGAGCTCAGGAGCAGCCCGTCGCTTCTATGGGTTCCCTCGGGGATGAATTGCTTTTGTGCGGTGCTTGTTCGTGCCGTAGTAGCATGAACACAAAAGCGAGGCGGATGATGAGCAAGCCGTTACACGTACCTCTTTGACCCTGAGTTTGGGCCCCTTGTTTGGGCCAGCGATGTGAGAACTGGCGTGGGGTTCCAGGGTAAGCCGTGGAAACTTGCAGTGGGACCCGAAGCCACCTCGTTGGGATATGATTCTGAGGTCTGTGGTGGTTCTTACGGTGCGCGCGGCGCTGTCAATTTTGAAAGGCCGGGGCGGGCTGCAGGAGTGATCGTCAGTTTTTCGTGGCCATGCGTTGAGGCTTCATTGCGTAGGTGGTGCGCTCTTCAACACCATGGCTTACCAGCCTGGAACATATCCCTATCCCTATGCTGGGCACCTCCTCATCACGATGCCAATCTTAGGGATTCCCTTATTTTTTGAGGGCGAATCCCTAAGATTGTCATCGCCTTTTGGCGTGCCAATCATAGGGATAGGGATACGTTCGAGGCTGGTAAATGGCGCCTCCGTGCAGCTTTTGCACAGGGCCAGCGAGTGCTCGCCCCCTCCTGTGGCCATTGGGCGGGGGCTCCCTGTGCAGCAGGGAGTGCGGCACACGTTGTCATGTGGTTTCCCGAAGGGGTGAGACTCGTGTTCATCTGCTTCCCCTCCTTTTCCGCCTCCAGACAGATGAATGCAACAGGGTCAGGGTTTTCTATTACGCGGCCCCCGTGCCATGCGTAGAGGGCGTCCAAGAAGGAGGGAACCGGGGATGGGTTAGAGGAGGAGAGCGAAGGGTACATAATCAGATTGGAGAAGCGAAGCAGGGCGTGTGCTCATGAGGAGGAGGAAGAATGAGGATAAAGGAAGGATGGGAGGAGGAGGAAGAATGAGGAGGAGGAGGAGGAGGAGGAGGAAGGAGGGTTTGTGCTTATGAGGGGGAGGAGGAGGAGGAGGAAGAGGAGGAGGAGGAGGAGGAGGAGGAGGAGGAGGAGGAGGGGAGGAGGAGGAGGAAGGAGGGTTTGTGCTCATGAGGAGGAGGAGGAAGAATGAGGATGAAGGAAGGATGTGAGGACGGAGCAGGGAGGAAAACGGAGCATGGGAATGAGTACGGATGGAAAAACGGGATGAGGGAGTGGGAGGCGAGAGGGGAACAATTATCGAGCAGGAGGGGCAATCATATTGTCAGGAGGTAGACGGATGCAGGTGAGGAAGAGGCGCGACAATGAACGCGAGGGAGGGATGAGCGGACAGGATGAGGTCTTTCACGGCGCATAAGAGCCAAGGATGTTCAGTTCATCATCTGGCCCGCAAGCACCGGGTCGCAAGTGAAAGTATTCAAGAGGTGTTGCGGGACAGGAGGGGGAGAGAACGAGGAGCACATACAGATGAGGAGGAAGTGGGGGAGATGGGAGGGATGATGTTCGTGGGGGATGAGAAGGGATGAGCCATGAAGGGGAGGGAGGGTGAGGGAGGAGGACGAGGAGTTTAGGGAGGTGGAGGAGGAGGAGGAGAAGAAGAAGAGAGCCAGGTAGAGGAGTCGGGCTGAAGCTTCACCCTCTGCGCGCCTCCCTCCGCCTGATCCTTACCATTGCGCCATCACTCGTCTCTCCTGCTGCATGTCTCTCTCCCTTTCGCCCTCTCTGTGTATCTCTTTCTCTCTCGTCGTTTTCGTCGTGTCGTCTTTCGTCGTCGTTTCTCCCTCTCTGCCACAGGGCTCCTCTTGCGTTGGTACAAGAAGAACTGTATCTCTCTCTCTCTCTGTCTTTCTCTCTCTCTCTTTTTCTCTTTTTCTCTCTCCCTCACTTTCCCTCTCTCTCTCTCTCTTATGATCGACTCTCGTCTCTTGGTCTGTGAGCGTGCCAGGCGAAGGGAGAAGGAGCTGGAGGCGTCGAGAGAAGAGGCAGCCAGGCGAATGGTGAAATCCGAGGCGGGCTTTGAATTTGCCTCCTTGTTCCATATTTGGCATTATTCGAGCATCTGCGCTAGCATGGGGAAAACATGTGCTTCAATGCAACGGTTAGGCAGTCCCACCGAGCTCTGGGCACTGGCTCAGGGCGATTGGTGCGCATGCATTGGCTGGGCTGGTCTGACTGATGACCGACGACTCGGGCCACGGCAAGAGTGCGGCATGCCGCTGAATTTATGCCACCAGGGCCTGCATGTCTTCCCGACGGACTGCCCGCGTCCGCACGAAGAGCCAGCAGCCATCGGCTACCATCTGACAGCTGCCCGCTCGTACGTACAAGCTGCTGCCCGGCGCGCTCTGCAGCCAAGCAGCACATTTGCGTGCACTGCCGCGCGATTGCCACGGTGCTCGGGCGGGCGCCGGGGGGGGGGGGTGCGCCTCGGGGGGCAGAGTAGGGTGTGGGGGGGTCGGCGGGGGAGGGGTCGGGGCGGGGGGGTGGTGCGCAGCCGTGGCGAGCGGAGTCTGCCACAAGCCAGAATCTGCTAAGAAACACCCTTCTCGCCTCCAGGGTGCCCTGGGTTTCTTGGGTTTCGATGGTTCTGCTATGGAATGCGTGGCGTTCCCACACCAAATATCCATGGACGTCCCGGGGTCTCGGGGTTGGGTTTCTTGTGGAAGGTTTCTCGTGGTCGGGCCCCTATTGTATCACGCGTGCCAGGCATGTAATGGGACCGCGTTTTTGTCGGCTCGGGCATCCCATGTCGCAGGCGCAGTTGAAGCACTGACGCTGTGGTTTGACCTTCGCGCCGAGTTTCGTTTCCCTTGACCGCCCGTCAGCAGAATGTCCAATGCACTCACGTGTATCAGCTTGTTTTCTGTGTTGTTTCATTGCCTGCGCATATGCTTCATCCATCGGCTCTTGTGAAGGCGGTCTTGAAGCACATGCTGGAGCGCTTGTTCAGAGGCAACCTTGCGCCTCTTTCTCAAAGAACGGACGGGGGCAGATCGGCTTCGACGTGCGAGGGCGTCGGCAGCTGGTCGGGATTCTAATGTCGCTTCGCGTTCATCGATTCCCTCTCTCGCCCTCTTAGTTCCTACTCTCTCTTTCTTTATGTGTGTCTCTCTCTCTCTCTCTTTCTCTCTCTCTTTCTCTCTGTTCCTCTCTCACCCTACCTTGTGCCAGAAAGGCCGCAGCGGCCCAGCTGCGGGTGCCGCGACCCAGCCCGCTGCGGCACCGCCGGCAGTTTTGGGGGGTGCCGTCGTCGAGGGCGCCCTCTGCCTGGCCGCGCGCAGAGGGGGGCAGGGGGAGGGGGGCAGGGTTCTTGGCAGCCGCCCTGCTTCTCAGGGGGCGCGGGCCTTGTCTGTAGATGTAGGTCGGGCCTGTCCTCCTACAAGGGGGTTTTCGGCGAAAAATAAGAAATAGTCAAAACATACCCCGAGATGGCCAACAAATGCTCAAAGAGTCGTCCCCAGACTATTTGTTTGACTAGTTTTGCATATCCCTCCTGTAGAGGGACAGGCCCGACTTAACTGTAGATGTAAGGCCGGCGCCTTCTACGAAGCAGCCTGCTTCTAAGAAGCCTCCCCCCCTCCCCCTACCCCCTTGTGCGCGCCGCCAACCTCCCCCGAGACACTCTTGGCGCGCGCATGCGCGAAGCTGCGCAACGGCGCGCGCCGTCTGACAGCCGCGCTGGCAGACCGAGGCTTCGGCTTGCCGTTCCTGCACTGCCAACAGACCCGAGTCGAGGGCGAAGGTGGCGCAGCGCACCACCGTTGCACGGGCCTTCCTCCTGCTCGCGCCGCAGACTGTGCCCAGATTGTGCCCCCGCGACCCAGGCGGCGCCCGGAATGGGCGGCCGGCTGCTGGCGGTGCACGGTGCCGCAGCGGTGGCCCCGCCCCTTCGGCGTGGAGGCCCCCCCGGGCATCCCGTGGCCCCGGCAGCGGCGCCGGGGCCCTCCCTGCGCGCGCCGCCGGGCGGCCCGCCCGCGGGCCCCCGACGGTGCCGTGTGGTCCCCCCCGGGGTGCGGGAGGCCCAGCGCGTGCGGCTCGAAGGATTGCAAAAAACCCAGGATTGCAAAAAAAACATGTTTTTTTTGCAATCCTGGGTTTTTTTTGCACGTTTTTTTTGCACGAAGGATTGCAAAAAAAAACCCAGGGTTTTTTTGCAATCCTGTTTTTTTGTTTTTGTTTGCAATCCTGGGTTTTTTTAGAGTACCGAAGCGGTGCGGTGGCACGCCGTGCGGTGAATCTCAGAATCCCCCAGGACCTCACCGCAGGGTCCGGCACCGCACGGTGTTGGGACCCTGGAGGCCCCTGTCGCCCGAGGCGTCCTCGGAGGACGACCCGAGTGCCAAAACCGTGCGGCGACCCCGAATCCCCACCGACTCGCCGCACGGTGTGGGTCACCGCCCCGTTTGGGGGCCCCCGAGTGGCTTTGCAAGCAGCCGGCGCGCCTCAGCGATGATGGCTCGGTGCCGATTGCAGCCGTCCTGCCGCTCCAGGCATGCTGGCTGGACCTGTGCTGGGCTCACCGTGGGGGGGAGATCACGTGGAGTTTCCACGGGGCTTGGCGCACGGTCCGCGTCGCCTCGGAGGTCCCCGTGGGTGTCTGGGGGATCCCAGCCGAACGCGTGTCCAAGAATTGCCCGCTGCGCCGCGCCAGAGCACCGCGCCTCCACCACCTGCTGGCGGATGTTTCCCCCGCAGAGGCGTGGCGCGAGGCAGCCCTGCGCCGCAGGTGGACTTGGTGACGTGGGCCCGCACAGATGTGGACTGCGTCTGGGAGCTGGCCGCCAAGGTGCGGTTCTTGGGATTGACGTGTGGAGCTTTCGCGCGCGCTTGCGCAGCCGAGCAGTTGCCTGCCTGCATGTTTGCGCCGCTTCCTCTGCGTCCTTGTCGTCCCCCTATCCTTCCTCCTTCCCCTCATCTCCTCCCCGCCTCTTCCAACGCTCCAGGGCACAGTGTCGGTCACCGCGCGTGCCAGCGCGGCTGAAACGCAGGCGAAGGACCAGCAGTCGAGGCGTTCCATGTCCGTGCTTCACCTGGAACCGCCTCTACAATCGTCCAATATGAATACCACTCTCCTCTCGCCCCTGAGGATGGCCAGGGACTGGCCCGACGCCCCCCCTCGTGTTGTTGTGCTGCTGTGCCACACCGGGCTTCAGAACGAGATGTGTCATACGCTTTTGTTTCGAGCGGGGCGTCTTCGGTCTCTCAAGGGAGTGCTCCTGCTGCAGCGCTGGCCTCATTTTAGGGCCGGCTTTTCCTCCCACCGCTCAGAGTGGCGCTCGCGCCCCAGCGCGGTCCATTCTTCTGGCTCCTGCTTCCTCGTCGTCGTCGCCCGGATCCTTTCCCCTCCCCCCGCCTTCACCTGGTCGTCCTGCTCTTCCCGCTTCTCCCACTCCAGTTCCTGCCGCTGCTGTTCCTTCTCGTCTTCCTCCTTCCCCGTCCGCCTCCCCCTTCCTCCTGCTCATCCTCCTACTCGCACATTCGCCACCTCCTCCTTCCAATTCGCACAGCTCCCATTCTCCGCTCGTGCATAACACGATAGGGGGTACGATGCCCGAAAATAATGGGCACGGAAAGAATGGGTACGATGCCCAGCAGCAGTCCTTGTTCATTTTGAACAGGACTCGCTGTCCGCGCCGCCGCGGCCTGTGTCCATTCGAGACAGAAGGCAGCCTGCCCAACAGCGGCCGCTGCTGGTTTGGGGCAACATTTGGTGTTGGGCATTGTACCCATTTTTCCCGTACACCTTAGGCGATGCTTAAGAAAACCTAAGTTTTCGCCCAGAGTCTCGATTATTCTTAACTTTTCAATGTAAATCCCAAGATTTTGATAGAAGTTCTGGGTTTTTATTCAAGTTCTGAGACTGTGAATTTCTTAACCCATGATTTCTAAAGCATTTCGCAGGGTGTACCCATTTCGGGCGTCCAATGTGAAAGGAGGCAATCTCCGAGTGCCATCTTGGGGGGTTCCCTGGGGCAGTGCTGGGGCTCTCGGGTGGCCTGCCGTGGCCCTCCCTGGGCACCCTTTTTTGGGCCTGCGGAATGTGCAGAGAGATCTGGCACGAGGGCCATTCGGAGGGGGCGTCTCGGGGACACTGGGGGGGGGGGGGGTCTGGGGCCGGCTCGGGGGCCACGTTGGTCCATCCAGCCCTCGTGGGGCTCGCGGGGAGCTCCTGGACCCTCCTGGAAGCCCCGGGGGCCCGTTCCGGAGGCACCCTGATCTGAAAACCGGGAGTGCCAAACGCACGCAGACACTGGATGGCATCACACGGATGCTGCGTCTCGGGGGCGTTCCTTCGGAAACTGTAGGGCCCCTCGGAACCCGCCTTGAGGCTCCCAATGGGTCGTCTTCGAGGCCATCTTGAGTATGGTGGAGCCCGCGGGGCATCTTGAGTGTCTCGGTGTCCGCTGCAGTCTGGCTTGGAAAGCATATTGGGAGGGCGACACCGGGGGGAGAGGGGGGGAAATCAGAAGGGCCCTGGGGTGTTCAGGGGGGCGAGGGGGCGAATAACGAAGCAAGATTGAACAACAACGAGTATGAATCAAGGGCTGCGAGCCTAACGTCACATCTGCGGGCCTCCAGCCCGAGATCACGTCATGGCTCCGCCTGCCCCAGCCAGAGCATCCCCGAGATGGCGGCGCGGCGGTGGCGCTGGGCCGGCCCAGGCGACATGAAGGCGACGAGGTCATCGGCGTTCCGCGAGTGGCGCAAGATGAGCGCCAAGAGCAGGATGAAGGCCTCCCATGTGCGAGGGGTTTCCTTGCCGCCGCGTTCTCGCCTCGGCTTGCCAGCGTCCTTCTTTCGCCGGTGCTTGGAGTTTCGCGTTGTCCTGAGCCTTGAAAGGAGAGGCTGTCATCAGAGCAGTCAGATCAGGGTGCTGCCCGCTCTTCAGACTTTCACACAGGAGCTACCATCACGTGGCATCGCACGGCTTGCATAACATTTCACACTAGACGGCGCTGCGTAGCAAATCGTAGTATGCAGTGCGAGAATCAATGTTTGGAAATGGATGTCTCGCTCGCGTCGGGCTCGTGTTTTTTGCGGGGTCCTCACCAGAATTCCACTAGTACTGTTTGCCTTCGCCAGTCCAAGTTCTACATGAATGCATGCTTGTGTGCTGCGAGTTTGCGTTATGTATGAAATCAATTTGCTGTACCCTGTCTTGCACACCATTGCCATCGTGACATGACGCGCGCGCCGCACATTCGGCTTGTCACTGCTGCCGCAGGTCGCCGAAGGATTCGCAGTACCTTGAGACCCTGTGAGACGCGCGGATGCGCTCGGCGCTGAGGGTTTCGCCGCTTTTTTGAGACAGTGTGGAACCTTGTGAGACGCGTAAGTGGCTTCGGTGCCGGCGATTTCGTTTCATTATGCAACCTTGTGAGACGCGTTGATGTGCTCGGCGCCGAGGGTTGCGTAGTAATTTGAGGCCGCGTGAGTCGCGCGGACGCGCTCGGTGCTGGGTGGTTCGCGGCACCTGGAGACAACGTGAGACTTGTGGATGTGTTCGGCGCCGAATATTTCGGGGCAGTGTGTGGCCCTCTGGAACTGTTGGAGGCCGCTTCAGATTGCCATCGGGACTCACCTGATGGGAACATGTGGATCACACAAGAAGATTTTGAAATCCATCCGACGCTCACTCACTATACAATGACATTCGGATTCGGAGGGTTTCAAGATTGTTCAAGCGCGCGTGGGGGCCGCCGCCCAGGCGCGCCAATCGCCTTTGAAGTTTAGCCCGTGTGATGGCCAACGTCGGGTCGGGTCGCGTCCACCGCCCGGCGTGACTGCATGGGGCTGTCTTGGACATGGCGTGCGCGCGAATGCTTATGGAAATCGCACCCTCCCATGCCAAAGTTTGCTTCGCAGGCTGTATTGTAGGAGCGGAGTGACCCCAACGGGGACATCGCTTTCGATTCGCGTCATGCGTGTGGGCGCGGCGAGGCGGAGTTGCGCGATGGCCGTGATGTGCAAGGCGAGGCTAGGGCCAAGTTTCACAGCACGTTCCTGCATTCGTCCCGCGGTGCCTCGCCGTGATTGTCTCGTGGTTGTCCCATGGTTGTCCCGTGGTTGTTCCACGGTTGGGGGTTATCTCGTGGGTTATCCTGTGTCTGCCCCGTGGGTTGTCTCGTGGTTGTCCTATGAATTGTTCTTCGTGCTGTTCCTTGATTGTTTCTCGCGGTGTCCTGTGTATGTCGTTGGAACGCAGCATGCACATCGAAATGCGTACCCAATCGCAACCGACATGGCGTAATACAGCACATCGGCATGTAAATTGATCGCCGCATCGGCAACATTGGGCTGCAAGCGGCTTGTACATCGAACAACATCTACAGGCGAGGTGGGTTGCCATCGGAATCCAAGTTCAAATTCGAATCATGATGCGATCTGTTTGTGCCAAAGCGCGCATTTCAGCATCACCGATACGCAATCGTACCGAACATATATCTGTCATCCGAATTGCAAGTCGGCTTGCACACCGAAGCGCACATCGAACACGACATCGGCACGCACATCCTATGCACATCGACTGGTCGACCAAAAACAATTACACTGAGGTTTCAAACTTACATTAAAATTGCATACAGGCGCGCAAAGCGTATAATTGCTGTGGGGGGATGGCGGAATCACTGATATATAACATGACATAGTGGTGCTCATCGGTACTTTGTGAGTTTGGTCGATAGCGAGATGGGTTGGGGGAGGGCGAAACCGCTCTACGTGGTGACAACAGTCGGTAGACAGTGAGGTCGATAGATACGCTACCGGCGGGTAGGTTGTGGGATGGGTATGTCGCGGGTCCGAGGAACACGCTGAATGCAAAAATGGTCGGAACGCCAATGGCAAACCAGCTGCTGCACCCACCCACCCCATAAGGCCCTCGAACTGCCGCCGCGGGCCCAGACCGTGCACGAGAGGCGCACGCTTTTTCACTCCGCGTTGACTGTCACCCACTGATCAGGGCCGCCGCGGAAGCGCGAAGCTGTTCGCGCTTCGCGGTTCGCCGTCCGCACCCCCCCCTTCCTCGCGTCCCATCCTTTCCCTCCTCCTCCTCTTCCTCCTCCTCCTCCTTCTCCGTTTTCTCCTCTTCCCTTCTCCTCCTCCTCCTCCTCTTCCTCCTCCTCTTCCTCCTCCTCCTCGTCCTTCCTTATCACTCGCAGGGGTGGCCCATGAGGCAGCATGCGCTTCCTGGGAGGGTCGCACCTGCGTCCTGACGTAGAAGATTGGCCTGTGGCTCCGCGAGTAGTGTACGTTCGCCCCGTGCCCGACCGTGGGGGGCGGCTCTGGTGGACGCCCCGTGTGCCGTATGGCGATGTTGGCTTGTTGGTTCAAAACACTATATATATGCTTCTTTTTATGTATCTATATATACATACAAACAACCATATATTGGCATATGCTATGTGGCATTCGTTGTTTAAAAAATTTGGCTTTTGTTAAACAGTATTTTAAACTATGGTTTTGTTAAACCATATATATAGTGCATTTCCCGTTTAACCAAATACTTTATTGCTTCTGATAACAATCAATAGATATATAACAAATGTTCGGCTGATGCCCGCACGTGGGCGCCTCCCTGGCGGGTCGGCACATCCCCCTCCGAGATCAAGCGCACGTGTCTGTTTGTGTGTGTGCTCCCGCGGGGCGGCGCCCGCCCCGTGGACCCCCCCCCCAAACGTCCGCGCGTGCGCGCCGAAACCGTGGGCTGCAGACGCCACCGTCTGACCTCGTGGGCCGCGTGTCGCGCGCCGACCAGCACGAGAGAGAGAGAGAGAGAGAGTCGCGTTTCGTTTCGAGGGGGGTGTTGTGGTTCTGGGCTGCGGGAAAAAAAGTGCCCGCCGATGAGCAAGCACCGGCTTGTGCGGCGGGTCGCTGCCTTGACCTCCAAGTTGTCCCTGGGCGGGACGGCAAAGCTGGCCCGGGCTGTCAGAGAGTGAGGGGGTCCGCCCTCGCTCACGAGCCCGCTTCGGACCGCACGTTTGTGTGTCTCCCTGCAGGGCAAGCCGAGCCGCTGCGTGTCACATCATCATGCTCCCTCTTCCCGCGAGGGGGGTGGGGAGGCAGGCGACGGGGCGATGGTCGGGCGTCGGCCGCGGCCCCATGAGCCACGGGGCCAGGCCACAGCCGAGGGGGAGGCCCAGAAGTTCCAGGGCCCAGCCAGAGGGGGTGTTTCGAGGAAACGCTAACATGGACGCAGGCGCGTGGATCAGCGACGGGCCCCGCTTCTGTGCAGCACCGGCGCGCTCGGACGGCTCGCCAGACCGGGCGGCAGGGGCGCCACGCTTCGGGGGGGTCTTCTTCTGCCCGAGCCGCGGAGTTGGCACCCACGCGCCACCTCCTGCTCCCCGCCTGCCTCCCGGACGCCCCTTGGGGCGGAGGGCTCGCATGGTCGGTTCGTGCTCCCCCTCTCGGGGCCCCTCTCGGGGCTGCCCTGGGGCCCTCTTGGGCGGCCTCGTGGGCCCTCGTGGGGCGCTCGTGGGCCGTCGTGGGGCGCTCTCCTGCGCCCGGCCCCTCGTCCGCCTGCCCGGCCGCCCCGCCGGCCCTGGCCTCCCGCCTGCGCGCTCGTCGTCGTCTGCCCTGCCTCAGGCCCGCCGCCCACCTCCGCGTTCGGCGGCACCCACCGCGGACACATGGCAAGCAGAGTCGAGCTGGCCTCAGCAACGCTGCTCCGGCCCTTCCTCTTCGTCGTTGGAGTCGTGGAGCACGGCGGCAGCCAGAGCCCCGAATCATCAGGGGTAGTTCGGGTCAGGGCTAACTCGGGTTCGTTTTTCGGGATTCCGAACCCGACTTACCCCGGACCCGAGTTACCCCGGATATCCCGGGCGTCCAGAGCCCCGAATCATCAGGGGTAACTCGGGTCAGGGCTAACTCGGGTTCCCTTTTCGGCATTCCGAACCCGAGTTACCCCGGGCCCGAGTTACCCCGGAGAACTCGGGCGCCCAAGGCAGGGGCTCGGAAGGCTGTTGATCTCACTTTCGCGAAGGCGGAAGTCCCTCCCGGCATCCCCTCCGCTGGGCAGCACGGCCTGCCGGGAGGCCAACGCGGCGGCGCGTAGGCCTCCTTCCGCGTCCCCATTCACACGCTTCGTGACCGCACGGGGAGTTCCGTGATCCACGCTGGCGCGGGCCCGGGTGGCGCGGGATGTTTGCGCCGAGGCCCCGCGGCGGGGGCCTCTTTGGAGGGTTCGCCGGGAGCCCAGCGGAATCGCGGGGCTGCGGCCGCGCAGGAAGTTCTTAGCCCCTCTCGGGGGAGCGTAAGACCCGGCTTTGCCAGGACTCGGGTTCGCCATCGTTGTTTGACGACCGCGCCTCGGATTTTGACGAGGAGGAGTTTCGTGGGATGTCTGCAGCGGGAGGCCTCGTCAAAATGCAGGCTCGGCCTCGTCATTTTTTTGACGACCTCGTCGGGGATTTCCGAGTCCCCTGTACCCAGGTCTTACGTCCCCCTGACCCTCGGTGGAGGAACAGATGCTTGTGCCGCTACTCTTTCGGGAAAGCTCTTGCTGACACCACTGGAGTCCCATCGAGATTCTCGTCACAACGCACCCTGGGAGAGATCTGGGGAGTAGCGGTATCGATACCTTTTTTATTCTCTTGCACAGGGTGTCTAGGGCTCCGACCACTTTATTTCGGCACCGCACCCACCACCCCCCCCCCTCTCATCATCATCATCAGATCATCATCATCATCATCATCGTCACCGTCATCATCATCATCATCATCATCATCATCATCATCATCATCATCATCATCATCATCATCATCATCATCATCATCATCATCATCATGATCATGATCATCATCATCACCATCATCCTCACCATCATCACTATCATAATCACCATCATCATCATCATCATCCACATCATCATCATCATGCGCCCCCTCCGTCTCAGCGCCCTCCCGCGGCTCCAGCGCCCGCCCAGTGCCCCCTCCGCCCCGACCACTTTATTTCGGCACCGCACCCCCCCCTCCGCCCCCTCCCCCGCGCCGTCTCAGCGCCCCCGCGGCTCCAGCGCCCGCCCAGTGCCCCCTCCGCCTCGACCACTTTTTTCCGGATGGGCACGGCCCCCCCCGCTCCGCCCCCTCCCCCGCGCCGTCTCAGCGCCCCCCCGCGGCTCCAGCGCCCGCCCAGTGCCTCCTCCGCCCCGACCACTTTATTTCGGCACCGCACCCACCCTCCCCGCTCCGCCCCCTCCCCCGCGCAGTCTCAGCGCCCCCCCGCGGCTCCAGCGCCCGCCCAGTGCCCCCTCCG